TTTCGTTTCCTTTATTGATGCACGTGTAAATTTTTCGTTTCGTTTATTGAAATATTTTTTTATTTATGTACACAAGAGAATTTCACTATGAAATTTCTCGATATAAATAATGATATTATAGAATTAGAAGGTGGGTGTCCGGAATGCATTTAGGTGGAATTGGATTGAACGGAGAGATGGTTGGGGATACCATCGGCACATGGTGCAAGAAAATAAATGTTGCTGGACAAGCATATTGTGATTTTTGGGCTGATCTTTAGAATATGGTAACTGGTAGTTTGGCGACATTTTGGAGGTGATATAGGTTACTACCTGGGACTTTGGTAATAATGTGAGCAGTACTCTTCCGATTACGCATTATTTTGTCTGAGGGAAATGAGAGATCATGGGATATGTCATGTGATATTAATGGACGAATTATGGTTCTTTAATCGGAAAAGGGGGGAAATCGGGAAAAAATCTGGAAATTTTGTATTTGGCTTTATTCTATGTTGTGTGAAACAGTGTTCGTTAATTTTTGGATCCATGGCCCTAACTAAAGTGAATTCGAAATGGGTATTTAGTGGGATTGAAAGGGGTAGTAATAAGTGTTTCTTTAAGGTTGTGCGAGATAGAAGTAAAGATGTTTTATTAAGTTATTTATTTATCTGTACCTTGGTGTGAACTATAAGTATGATTTTAAAGATCCTGAACAGAAATAAGAAAAGTTTATCGGACACGTAATCAAGATTGTGAAGAAGAATAGGTAAGTTAGTATTTTTAATTATTTGAGGATATTATTTTTATGCATTGTTCTAAATGTAAGGTGGAAGTAAAGTAATTTGCGTAAACGTGGCATGGAAATAATTTAAAATATTTGACACTAAGTATTGTAACCATTTGTAATGTTTGCGGTATGAATTAGTTAGTGACGTTGTAATATAATAGATAATGTAGAGGTAAAAGTTTTTGGATATTTTTATTATTTTATATGGGGAAATGTTCATATTTGGAAAGGGTATATACTTTTTCGCGATCAGGTAATTTCATATATGTTCTTTTTACTGGGTTTAGAGATTCAGAAATTGTTATGCCTTTTCGTGAAATTTTTCTAATTTATGAGAAAAAAGCAGTGTACATGGGTATAGTGAAGAGTGTGCGCAATGCCATTTTTGTGCAATTCTGGGATTTTTTTTAAGTAAAAATAAGTCGACATGTACATGGTTTAGTGATATTTTAATTAAATGATAGTTATTTTGTGAATTTTATGTTTGTAGGAATTTGGTATACGTTGAAGTAAACGTGAAGTTGAAGTAAACATGCATGGAAATAATTTAAATATTTGACATGAAGTATTTGTAATGCTTGCGGTATGAATTCGTTGGTGACGTGTATAATATAATAGATGATTTAGAGGTAAAAGTTTTTGGATATTTTATTTATTTTATATGTGGAAATGTTCATTTTGGAAAAGGGTATATACTTTTTATATTTGGAAAGGGTTATATACTTTTTACGCGATCAGGTAATTTCATATATGTTCTTTTTACCGGGTTTAAAGATTCAGAAAATTGTCATGTATTTTCATGAAATTTTTCTAATTTATGAGAAAAAAGCAGTGTACATGGATATAGTGAAGAGTGTGCGCAATGCCATTTTTGTGTAATTCTGGGATGTTTTTTTAAGTAAAAATAAGTCGGCGTGTACATGGTTTATGTGTATGTGTTATTTTGAAAAACGTGTAAGGAGTATGGTATTGTGCACTTTTTCCCAATTTTGCAGTGAATAAGTGTAATTCTTTTGCAGTGAATAAGTGTAATTAATATCTTGCATAAGTGTAATTCGGCTAGTAGATTGTTGGAAGAAGTGTTCAGTAGATAAAAAGAAAAGAAACATGTCTTTACTTCGTGAAGACAAAATGGCGGCGGGAAAAAAAAATTGAGGGTTGCTGTAGGAGAGTTGGTCGTCAAATTTTCGCCAAAAAAACGCCAAGTTACCATAATGTTACCATAATGTAAAGATCAACCGTTTTTTGTAACTCAATGCTGAAGTATGGTGGGAAAGGTTTTAATGGACAAAATGATATTTTAATTAAATAATTAAAATATTATCATTTGTCCTTTATATAATTAATGATAATATTTTAATTAAATAATTAAATATATTTGAAATATTAATGATAATATTTTATTTAAAATGATCACAAATCATTTTAAAACTGTGACGCACATAAAATATTCAAAGTGCATTAGACATTCAATGACTTTAAGTAATTATGCTAATTAAAAAAAATACTGATGACTTACTGGAGACTGATGCTCGGCCATTGGATATAGTGACAAGAAAAGCACGCCAAGAGGTATTAATAACTTCGTTTATCGCCGAGAATTCTCTTTCTTTCAATGTAGCTCCCAATTTAATTGAACTCTGCAAACTGATGAGCCGCGATCAGACGGCACTAAACTCGTTGGCAATGTCCAGGACTACTGCATGTTATAAGATGAAATATGGGCTCGCAAAAACTATTAAGGAAAATATCATTAAAACTTTAAAGGAGACTCCATTTTCTCTAAATTTGGATGAAAGTACTAGCAATGCTCAAGAAAGTATACTGGCAATATTGGTACAGTTTTAATGCAACAATCAAAATGAAGTTGTAGTTCATCATTTTGCATCTCTAAAGATGGAATCTTGCAATTCAGAAGCTGTTTTTAAAGCAGTTGTTAATACTATTGAAGATAATAATATTCCATGGGCAAACTTAATTAGTGTATTAATGGACTCATGTAACACCATGCGTGGAAAAAAAAAGGGTGTTGAAACCAGACTACGATCAAACAAAGCACCCCACTTATTAGATATTGATGGTGACACATGTCACACAGCTAATAACTGTGCAAAAAAATTTGCTTCATGTTTTGATAGATACTTAGAAGATTTGTTTGATGACATCTATTTTGATATGAAAAGCTGCAGTAAAAGAGAAAATTTTTTCAAAATCTGTGAATCCCTTGCCATTAAAAAACTTAAGCCCTTGAAGAGACCAGACCATAGGTGGGTGTACATTTTATGTGTTTTAGAAAGAATCAAAGATCTGTGGGATGCTCTTATTGCATTTTATTTTCACTACTTGGATAAAACTGATAAAGGGGATTATTTTTCTTATGTTGAAACTGTATACAATAAAAGAAATATTTCTGCAGCTCAGAAAAAAATTGTTGAAGGGGTGTATTTTTGCTTGCATTCCCAACAACTCGCAAAGGATGCTTTAGCTCGGAAAAAAAGAATACTAAATGGGTTATTTGTTATGCAAAACAAAACTTTATTGCATATGGCATTATATTCAGCAGTATTACCAGAGTTCAACACATATATTAAATTATTTGAAACAAAAAAAACCAATGCTTCATTTAATACATTCCAGTATTTATAAATTGATGGCAAAATTTTTCTCTTTTTTTATGAAGCCAGAAAATATAGAGTGCACATCTTATAATGATTTATTAAAGGTTGATGTCACAAATCCAGAATTCCATCTACCTAGCAAAGTAATATTTACTGGTGCAGAAGCTTCCACTCTCCTGAAGAAATTATCAAAAAATCATCCAATAGCAAAAGAATTCCAAATTTCTCTGATGAAAGCTTATACTAATACAGCACAGCATATGAAACAGAAATTACCCCTTAAAAATTCATATCTAATTAGTTTTACAGCATTAGATCCAGAGCTAAGAGGTAAAACCAGTACAATATTAGCTTTTGAAAAATTATCATCTTTTATGTCCCATATTTTTTAGTGATAATGAAAAGTCAAAAGTAGAAGCTGAAATAAGGTTATACCAGAGTGATATTGATATCACCAAAGAAATGCTCTACACATCTGATGAAAGTGGAAATCAAGTCAAGTGTACAATTGATAAATATTGGTCTAAAGTTTTTAATTTAAAAGATGATTTCAAAAATGATTATAAGTATCCTACATTGGCTAAATTGGTCAAAGCCTGCCTTAGCTGCTACCATGGCCCATTAGTGGAAAGTGCATTCAATTTAATGGATACACTTGTCACTGACTATAGAACCTCTCTTAAGATTGATTCCCTAGATGCAGTGCAGACTATTAAATATGATTTAATGGCTACCAAAAAAACCTCATGTGAAAAATATGGCTAAAAAAATCCAATGACTGATCCAATTCACAAAGATCTCTTACTGAATATGAACAGAAGTTGGAAAACATATCAAGAGGACTTAAAAACATGTATTTCAGATGAGTCACCTATAAAAGTCTCTGAAAAACCTTCTACATTAGCTGAAAAAAAGCAAACACTGCTTCTACCTCTGCATGTGCAGTTCTCGAGGAAATTTCTTCAACTGTAAATGAGGAAAATAAAAAGTCAACCTTCCTGCAATTAAGAAGTTCACCACAAAAGAAAGACAAGCCCACAAACATCAGAAAATAAAAAAAAGCAGCAGAAATTAGATAATTTTTTTTTAAAGAATGAATTCAGGTAATTTAAAAGATTTACATAAAATGTAGTAGTTTATATGTTTGAAAATTTATGGTTATTAATATTGCAAAAAAAGTAATTCATTGAACTTTTATAATTAGGTCATTCAATACTTCATAATTGTAATTTTTCATTCCTCTCCCCCCCTTCTCGAAACTCCAAAATGTCGGTAGTAAGTCCGTAAAAGTTTCAGGGGATTTTTTGGGGTCTCGCAAACACCCCTGGATATGCTCAAGCAATATTGCTGTTGAATTTAATTTTATGGTATAAGTGCGAAGAATTATTGATTATGTGATATTCAATAAATAAAGGTAGCATACAAAATGTGTAAAAAAAAAAAAAAAAAAAAAAAAAAAAAAAAAAAAAAAAAAAAAAACCCGTTTGGGTGTAATGTGAAATCTTAAAGCTTTCAGATTTTTTTAATACAATATTTTCTCATGATTGATATTTCTCATGATGAAATCTCTCATGATTGATATAACTTTTAAATATCATTCCTTTTCTGTTTTGTAGGGTCTTTTGATAGCATGGCATCATCGCAACTCCCTCATAATGAGTATCCCATTTCTCCAACATCTGGAGAAAATTCATTCTCTCATGAAAATAGTATATCTTCGTCTCCTGTAGCACAAGAGCTTCAGGTAATTAACAGTTTTTGTTGATTATGAGTTATTCATCAGAAAGCCATTTGTTTTTGTGTGTGATTATTGTATTTTTCCTGTAGTGTGCATTGTTTACAATATACAGTTATGAAATCATTTCTTTTTGATACATTGATGCATTTGTAACATATCTCTTACACTATACAAAAACAAAAGAATTAACAGTGGGTCTGTGACATTTAGCCGACTTACAAATTAAACAGCTGGATATTTAACTGACAGCATGTTTAGCCAACATCATATTTACCTGACAGTACATATGTTTAGATGGGGCAGTGGTTTAAGAAAGTTTTTTTCATATTTATCTGACCAAAGACCATTTCCAGTGTACACAATGACAACACATTGTGTTCCTAAAGTCCCAATCACATTACGTTTCCGCAACGACGGATTTGACATTGAAAGGGACAATTCTCTGAACGCATACATTTCCAGGAAACCATTTTCACTTATTACAACGCCAGATGGTAATTGATTATCGCTCAGATTGGGATCGCGTGATCCATTAGAAGCAGAACTTTCGTCTGATTGGTTGATCTCTACACAGGACAGAGCTGCAGCCGAAATATCTTCGGCGAGGTTAAAAAATATCTCATGTATCCGGTACCTCGCTTCTCTAGCTAGGTTGGATTTCACTTCCAGCGGAGCACTTTTTTCTAGGAATCCTTCCATTTAACACACTGAGTGCCACGTCAGCCATCTGTGGCTGTTTCTAGACTTTCTGTTTAGGCCCCGTCAGCCATGTGTGGCTGACGCTAGACTTTCTCTTTAGGCCATGTCAGCCATCTGTGGCCGACACTAGACTTTCCGTTTAGGCTGCGTCAGCCATCTGTGGCCGACACTAGACTTTCCGTTTAGGCTGCGTCAGCCATCTGTGGCTGATACTAGACTTTTTGTTTAGGCCGCGTCGACCACCGCTGGCTGATAGCATGTATCATGATATATGATATATTGGCTAAACATGCTGTCAGTTAAATATCCAGCTGGCTAATTTGTAAGTCGGCTAAATGTCACAGACCCACTGTTAATTCTTTTGTTCTTGTGTAGTGTAAGAGATATGTTACAAATGCATCAATGTATCAAAAAGAAATGATTTCATAACTGTATATTGTAAACAATGCACACTACAGGAAAAATACAATAATCACACACAAAAACAAATGGCTTTCTGATGAATAACTCATAATCATGTATAAAATTTACACTGTTTTATGGAATTACAGAAAATTTATGTAAAATGTACTTAATTTTGATTCATTACGGGACTAATGGATTTCATTGAAACATGGTAAGCATAAAAACGGCTCTCCATTATTGCTATTACAAAATGTGACAAATCTCTTAGTCTTTTTCCTGGCCATTACTCCTGACCCAACAATACTAGCGCTTTTAAGCGGCGCGCGTGGCCTGAGCGGGATTGCCTAAGAAATACGCTTGGCGCTCAACGTGTTAAACCAGTGCTACCAGAATCTTGTGTCTCAGAAAGGTCCCCTCTAGCAGGGACCGTTGCTATATGTGATAAAGACCTTAGCATACAAGTTATGGACAAGTACCACTTTTTTTTTTCTTTATTTAATGTTAGACATAAACATAGCCAGAAAAGAAATGGGGGGGAAAAAACCCCTTAATTGGCTATTTTTCAGGAGGGCCCCCAATTTTTTTTTTTCCCCCTGATAGTAGAAGAATCAAAATAATTTTTTATGGACTGCAGTGGGTGGACTTTTATATTACTTCTCTAGTCACACAGAATTGCAGCTGTACACTGAAAAAGAGAAATTTCTTTTTAAAATAAATGGTTCTATTTTGCAATAGACAAATTTGAAATATTGCCGTATATTCTTTTGTTTAATTGTATATTTTGTCACCTATCTAAGGTGATAAAACAAATGTACTGTTGGTTAAACTTTCTGTTGATCAAATGTTTTATCAGCTTAATGGGTTTGTCTGTCATATATATTCTGCCAGGTAAAGAAATTGTTGGTTAAATGCGTGTGTAGCATAAATGTTCTGTTGGATAATTGTCTGTGATTGATTAATGGTATATATCCTGCTTGTTCATAGAAATTGTAGCAGTATTCATGTAATAGGCAATCTGCTGCTTTTAGTTATTTCCCCAACATTTTACCACACATTTTAATTTAATAATAGTATTTTAATGGCACCATGTAATAAAAAGTAACTAAAAGCGGTAGATTACATATTACATGATTACCAGTTGCAACATCGAAAAGTAACTGATGTACAGCAGTTCAAAATGACTCATGACTAAGGTACACAATGTTCAGATTTTTTAGTGATTGAATAAAGGGGAACATGCAAAAATCAATAATTTTGATACCCAGGTAATATTATGCAGCAGTGGTGCACAACCTTTGGCCTATCGCGAGCACATTTCCAAAACATCAACATTTTTGTTAAACATATTTCCAATCTTAAGTGATATAACTTAAATATTAATTTCGGCAAATGGTTTTGAGATGAATAATAATATTAGTTGAATTTTTTGGAAATCGGAGAAGCGGAGTTCAAAATTATTTTTCAGTGCGTTTAGGTTTTCCAAGTATTTCTTTGTTTCTGTTGCGTTGTGGTTATTAATATGGCGTGATAAATTCTGAAAATGGGTGAAATTTTTTTCTTTCATCTGATTTATCCACAAATTTTACTTTATCTGAAAAGCAGTTACAGTCCCAGTCAATTAAAAAGGTTTTTTTTTTTCTTTTTCCTGGAGATCTTCATTCAGTTTGTTCAGTTTAGCTGTCAGGTAACCATCGTCCAATTCTTTATAACTTTTCTTTTTAACTTTTGTTTCAATTGTTTATAACTATCATCCAATTCTTTATAACTTTTGTTTCCAGATTCCAAAAACTGCTTTACTGATGAAACAAGTTCTACAAATGAAGCAATAAGATTCCATGTTCGCTATCAAGTTCATCGGTCAGCAATGAATTATTTTATAATGTCTTGCAAGATATCTCTTATGACTGTAAATGCTTACTATATTTTAACAATTAAGAAATATAAAAGAATGGTTATTTTTAAACTATTTTTTGTTCATAATACCGAGTCGTACTGGGGAGCACTTACAAAATGATCGGCGAGCACAAGGTTGGGCACCGCTGTTATACAGCTTCCTATATGTGGCATAGCATGGATGATGGAGGATTATTATTTACAGTGGAACCTCCAGATAAGAGCTTAATTCGTTCCAGTATTCATCTCGTATAGTGAATTTCTTGTATCTAGAAACAAACTTCGCATTGAAAATAATGGAAATCCAGTTAATCCATCTGCACCGTGTCTGGACAGCGCTTGGAAGTAATGGTAACTCCTTTGGCTACATCAAGTTTCTTAATTTCTTCTTCAGAATAGTGCAGATCGTCGATGTCGAAAGGCCATAAGTATTTGCCAATTCCGTCACTTTTACACCACACTTATGTTTATGTATGATTTCTTCCTTAATTTCAATGCCATCACTTCCTTGTTTTTCTTTGCAGCACTATCTGAGGCAGCAATCTACTTAGGAGGCATCATGAATAATTATTTTCATGTTAAATGTAATAAACAATTAACTCACAAGCATCCAAACACGTAGATCAAAGAAACACCGAGTGATATGACGAAGAGATTTCCCAAGTTGAGATGGATTGGGAAATGGTGCCACGCATGCCAACAGCCTGGCTCATTACTCAAGTCAGTGCTTGTATTTAGAAATAAATTTTTCTCTCGTGCTTTCCTCGTATCTTATCTCAAGGTTCCGCTGTATTTAGGGTTTTGTCCCATGCAACTCTATATACATGTTCCCAGATCTATGGTAAAAGTAAGTTATTTGGGACGTACTACATTTTATGCAGTTAAGGAACAGGCTGTAGATGAATTGTAATTTGCATTTTGAACACAAATATTGTACTACCAAAAGATGTCTGAAATGTCCAGTAAGGACAGAACTTCTGAGGTATCATGATTGAATTTAGTACTTGTGATGTATTAATAATAGCAAAAATGTGATTGAAATGCAGTAGCCTATCTATCGCTTGCATTTTTAGGATCATTGTGAATTTGTGAAATGCTGTCTTCCAAATGACATTTTTTACTGAATGTGTAAATAATGATCTGGCTATCTTGATGCACAAGACTGAATTTAAACTTCGTGAAAATCATGATTTCACCCTCATGTAGTTCTCTATTATATTCCTTTTTGGTACTATTGCAATTTCTTATGTCTGTGATATTGGTGCAAAGTACTGTAAATTGCAGGTCGTGGCAGCAGTGAACACACGTGTATTATCACAGCTGAGTGATTCAAGTCTTTGATTTCCTTTTCACTCAACGTGTGCAGCACTATAATGTATTACTTAAATTGGCCATTTCAAGGCCATTTGCGAGTCTCCATTCAGGATAATAACTCATGTCATCATCACTGCATCATTTATTTTCTCCACTTCATATGGGGCAGTAGTTCACGTCAATCTTCATTCATGTGCTTTTCATGAAATGAATCACACAAACAAAAATGAAGTGGGGAATTGAGAAACTCTACTACTTTTTCTCCACAGTTGTTGTTTACAAGTCGAATCAAGCAGTGGGAAAACAACCTTGGAAATTCCTGTTTTAAAGTAATAAACTGTAGCATCAGACACAGAAACAAATCATCTTTCTCTCAGTTCCATATTTTTATTTAATGTATTTTTGCAAGTTGTGTCAGTGAGTTCTGACTTTTTTCCCTGTGATAAAGCATATTAGCAGCGTAGAATTAGTTCAGTTTACTGGTAGAATGCTTAGAAATTTAATTGAGCTCTTTTTAAAGTCTAATAACTTGAGTTTTTATATTGCATCTGTTTCTTTAAGTTGCAATTAACATGAAAGTTGCAAACTTACAAGCATCTAAACTTAGCAGGCTTTTTTTGCGATCTCTTACACTACTTTGCCTTAAAGTTATTTTTATTCTTATCTCCAATTTCTAGTTCAACATTCTGTAAATT